ATCAATGATTGCATATAATCTGTATTCACACCGAAACTTTATTAAATGGTTATGCCATTGCTGATTTTTTCTTATTGGGGGGCAGCTGCTGACGTGTTTACAGTCATTATTGTGCGATGCTTGCGGCAACAGGTGGCGTTCGTTATCTAGATGTCACATACATGGACAATAAGCCGAGTGTTGTTCAGTCAAATTTAACCAGTAAATACACACTCAATGCCCGACGATAACTGACTTCACGGTCGATTACTTGAGTAGTTTGTTTTGATCGTTCTATGACGAGACCCGCGCCAACACGACTGTCGAATGTACTTGTCACATCAGGCATTAACCAAGCAAACACAACTCTTGTGTGTCATTACTACTTGTCGTAGTGTATTAAATTTGTACAACATGATATTTTAGTGTTTGTAAAGTTTAACTGAGTTTGCGAAGGGATTACCGCTGCTTGAACTATAGATTGGAGACATATCATCTCTTCATGTCATTAGATACAGCCAGTCTCAAAACAATTACACAAAACGAGTGTTTTATATTTATAAAATCTCAATTGATGGTCGATTTGATACACCAGTCCTCTGATAAAGCGCACAATTTTTGATTACACGATTTCTTGACGGTTCTGTATTGTTTTTTCTCGCCATTATTGCAATGTGCATGGACAAAGTTGTAAGACAGGCTCATTTCTACGGGAATATTTCCGTTTTAGTGAGATACACCTACGGTAGAAAAATTACTTATTTTTATATCAAGTTAAAAAAAATGAAACATGGGCCACGATGATAGCAAACATTTTAAAAATATTATGATATTGTCAGGTGTTCACAGCACCTAAATATGAGCATTAAAATAACGTTGATAGGTGTAGGCTCTACGTGTATTACTTCGCAGTTAGGAATTATAAATAAAGTGGTGATTTCAATGTAACTCTTTTGTACTCGGTGCTTTTCACTTAACCTTGGGTATTGCGCTACAGAAAACGCCTCCTACTGCGCGGTTTGTTGAAACACGTCTATAAGGAATATACCGCGTACGGGTTATCAGCGAGTACAGATAACCTGCATATACTGTATATATTAGAATTTACGTCGAATGATAGTTATATTTATTCAATCCACGCGAAAACATGACAGTTGTACGTGTCTCAAACCTTTGAGGCTGCCGCGATGTAACATGTCAAGGTACCTTTTCCGATACCGTCACGTTCTTACCACGATCCTAATAGTTATTATGTGCTAATTCGTACTCGTACTCGCAGATTGTTTCTGTTTGAAATTATTGAATTATCTACATAGCAAGCCAAGTAACATTAAGGGTTTTGGAAGGTATTACTTTTAGGGTTTCTTGTAATGCAATTTCTTAGTGTAATTCCAGTCAGAATGTTTTCTCAACTTTAATGCATATAAACATTCAAAAATTCGAGAACGGCGATTTTTTGTCATACCGCAAAACTAATCTTCACATTTACGAATATTCCCGAGAATCATGAAAATCAACAACTGTATTACTTTAGATCAACATAATTGAATCCATACTTTGTCCCTTGTCTACTCTCCACTGCACATACCATATACATTAACTACTGGTTGGCTTAAACATTGACACAAAACAAATTATGTTTACATACCCGAGGACCGTTTGGCTACTAAAAATAACTTAATAATACTTTATATTGAACGTTGTAGTTTTGCTGAATGTTTTCGGCGACCCCCTCTTGTTTAATGACCCAGCGTTACTTTGTATGCACTGTCACAATATCTAGCACATAGTTACCCAAGCCTCAAATACCGACTGGAAAGATGGTTGCCAGTCGGTGTATGTTAGCTACGGAATGTGCGACTCGACACACGTTGAAACTAGCCAGAGTCTCAGCAAAAATGAA